TTCCCTTTTTAACTGCACACTACTGGGCTGGGATTGTGGGTTCAGTGACTGGGTGCTTGCTCAGCAGGTATACAGTTCAATAGATGGTTGTGTGTGTGTGTGTGTGTGTGTGTGTGTTTGTTTATTTGTTTGAGACAGGGCCTCACTTTGTAGACCAGGCTATTTTGCAACTCCCAAGTGCTGGGATCAGAGTTGTGCACTGGCACACCTCACAGATTTTTTTGTTTTAGGCAGATTTTTTTTTTTTTTTTTTGAGATTCATCTTGCCTGCATCCCAAATTGTCCTTGAACAGGCTGTACGCCTAAGAATGACCTTGCGCTTCAGACCCTCCCTCTATTTTCTGGGTGCTCAGATTACAGCTGTGCACAACTTTACTTGGTTTATGTGGCTCTGGGATTGAACCTAGGGCTTTAAATACGCCAGCCAAGTCCTGTGCCAATTGATCTGCATTCCCAGGTCCAGTTCAGTAGATTTTTTAAAAAGTAGATTTGTGGTTTTGGCACACGCCTTTTATCCCAGCACTTGGGAGGCAGAGACAGGCAGGATCTCTGTGAGTTTGAGGCCAGTCTGGGCTACAGAGTGAGTTCCAGGACAGGCACCAAAGCTACACAGAGAAACCCTGTCTCAAAAAAACAAACAAAATGTATATTGACAAAGTTGTATAACCGTCACCAAATACTTAATTTTAAGGTATTTTTATACCCCCATGCCCATCTAATTGGTATCTGATCATAGCTACTCCCAGACCTTAGCAACCACTATAGAACTTTCTATTGATACAGATTTGCCTACTGAAGACATTCCATAAAAAGTGTAACCATACAGTACATGGCCTCTTGTGCCTGGCTTCTTTCAGTGAGCCCAGTACTTACATGGTCTGTTCATATTTTACCACAGACCATTTATTTAATTCTTTCTTATCATTTATCAACACTACCTCATCATTATGATGGACAAAGCATGACGGAACAGAATACCCAATGTGTTTTTCTGGCCTTTGTGTGTGTGCACACATGCTCATACAATTTATACATTGATCAGCTATTGAACATTACATGGTTTGCCTATTTTAACTATGAGCACACATGTGCAACTTTTGCATAGATGCATTTTCTATAAAGAGAATTTCTGGCACATATTGAACTCTGTCTAGCCTCTGAGGAACTACCGATCTGCTTTCAAAGGACACTGTAGCAATTGCATTCCCAACAGCAATGCGTGAGGGTTTGGGTTCCATTATTTGTACATCCTTGCCAATACCTGATTACTATTTTAGCCACCCTAGAGTGTGTGAAGTTGTATCTTATTGTGGTTTCATTTGGTTTTCTGCAATGGCTAATGATTTTGAGCCTATTTCATGTATTTATTAGTTATCTCTGTATCTTCTTTGAAATCAAATGTCTATTTAGTCTATTTAGATATTTTTAAAATGAGCTAACTTTGCTCATTACTGAGTTATAAGAATTTTTTTGCATAGTCTGGATAGTCCCTATTATATATGATGAGCAAACATTTTTCTCTCACTCTTTTTTCTTTTTCTCTCCTCCACTTAAGAATGTACAAGAACTGAAACAGTGAAAGGTGATACCTTGGTTTGTTTCCTTCCTCATCCACAGTTGTCTCATTATGGAACATGGTCATGGTATAGGTTGTAAGAAAGAACTATGAGCTCTTGGATCAGTAGGATTAACATAGTATAAATAGCTATCTTACCAAAATCCATCTACAGTTTCAAACACAATTCCCATCAAAATTCCAACACAATTCTTTACAGATCTTGAAATAACAATACTCAATTACATGGGCTGGAGAGATGGCTCAGTGGTTAAGAGCACTGGCTGCTCTTCCAGAGGTCCTGAGTTCAATTCCCAGCAACCACATGGTGGATCACAACCATCTGTACTGAGATCTGGTGCCCTCCTCTGGCGTGCGGGCATACATTGAGGCAGAATGTTGTAAACATGATAAATAAATAAATAAATAAATAAATAAATATCTTTAAAAAAACAATACTCAATTACATATGGAAAAACAAAAACCCCAGAATAGCCAAAACAATTCTGTATAATAAAAGAAATTGTGGAGGTATCACTATCCCTGGCTTCAAGCTCTACTACAAAGCTATAGTAATAAAAACAGCATGGTATTATCATAAAAACAGACACATTGATCAATGGAATCAAATTGAAGACCCAGACATAAATCCACATACCTATGGACACTTGATTTTGATAAAGAAGCCAAAACTATACAATGGAAAAAAGAAAGCATCTTCAACAAATGGTGCTAGCATAACGGGATGTCAACATGTAGAAGAATGCAAATAGATCCACATCTATCACCTTGCAGAAAACTTAAGTCCAAATAGATCAAAAACCTCAACATAAATTCTGTCACATTGAACCTGATAGAAAAGAAAGTGGAAAACAGCTTTGAACATATTGGCACAGGAGACAACTTCCTGAACAAAACACCAGTAGCACAGACACTAAGGTTGATAATAAATGGGACTTCGTAAAACTGAGATGCTTCTGAAAGGCAAAAACTCTGTCAATAGGACAACATGAGCCTACAGAATGGGAAAAAATCTTCACCAACCCCACATTTGACAGAGGGTTGGTCTCCAAAAGACATAAAGAACTCAAGAAACTAAACTAGACACAAAAAACTAAGTAATTCAATTTAAAAAAAAAAATAGGGTACAGACCTCTCAACAGAATAATCTCAAATTGCAGAGAAACACTTAAAGAAATGTTCAGCATCCTTGGCCATCAGGGAATGCAAATCAAAACGACTCTGAGATTCCATCTTTAACCTGTCAGAATGGCTAAGATCAAAAACACAGATGACAACTTATGCTGGAGAGGATGTAGAGCAAGGGGAACACTCCTCCACTGATTGTGGTAATGTAAACTTGGAAATCATATATCAGCTTCTCAGAAAAATAGGAATCAATCTACCTCAAGACCCAGCTATATTACTCTTGGTCATATACTCGAAGGCTGCTCAATCATGCTACAAAGAAACTTGTTCAACTATGTTCATAGCACCTTTATTTGTAATAGCCAGAACCTGGAAACAACCTAGATGCCCCTCAACTAAAAAAAGGATTAAAAAAAAAATGTGGTACATTATACAATGGAACATTACTTAGATGTTAAAAACAATGACATCAAGAAATTTTCAGGTAAATGGATGCATCTAGAAAAAAATAATCATCCTGAGTGAGGTAACCCAGACCCAGAAAGACAAACAAGGTATGCACTCACTCATAAGTGGACATTAGCTGTAAAGGATAACCACGCTACAATCCACAGACTCAAACAGGCAGGTAACAAGGAGAGTCCAAGAGGGATACACAGATCTCCTGGGAAGGGGAAATTGAGGAGATCTCCTGGGTGGATTGGGGTGGGTGGGGATGGGAACTTGAAGGATCAGGTTTGGGGATGGGCAGAGGGGTTTTATGAGGCAGGTAAAGAAACCTGATGCAAGGGAAACTCCCGTGAGTCTACAAGGTGGCCCCAGCTAATTCTCCTGGCAGCAAGGGATGCATAGTCTGAACACGTCATCCCCTGTGATGGGCTTGGTGACTACCCAGGTTGTCATCAGAGAGCCCTTCATCCAGTGACTGATGGAGGCAGAGGCAGAGACTCAAGGCCAAATACTGGGCCGAGCTTGGGGAGTTCTGCTGAGGAGAGGGAAGAGAGGTTGTAGGATCCAGAGGGATAGGGACATTTGAGGAAAATCCACAGAAACAACTAGCCTGGCTCATGGGAACTCTGAACCAACAACCAGGGAGCCTACATGGGACAGTTGAGTAGCTTGGTCTATAGTGGGACTCCAGGCAATGGGAAAGGGGCTGTCCCCGGTGCTTTGGCTCTTGGGAGCCTATTCCTCAGGCTCACACTCAGTGCAGGGGGAGATGCCTGGTCTTATGGCAGCTTGATATGCCATGCTGTGCTGATGCCCATGGGGGCTCCCCCTTTCTGAGCAAACAGGCAGGAGGGGTGGGTTGATGAGGGAGTGAGGGGGAAGCGGGAGACAGTGGGAGGCTATGGTCTGAATATAAAATAAATAATGATTAAATTTAAAAAAGAAAGTACTATGAGAAACCATGGCTTTCGCATGAATAGATGTGACAAATGCCTGCTGTCCTCACGCCTGTCTTTCTCATCTTTAAGACAGGGGTGACCCACACGGGGTTGTGGTAAGGGAGAGGCTGAGAATACAGACAGACAGTCCTGTGACACTCCTCAGTTGTCATTGGAATTCTAAAAATAAATAATAAAAATTGCAGACATGTTTCCACTGTTTAGCGCCCATCAGCTCATGCACAGGTGTTTCCATTGTAACACTGGTTTGAGCAACATAATGAGAGAGAGTGGTTTACCTCAGCTGAGCATTTTATGAAGAGGCCTGTGTGACCAATGTTCTGTAAGCACACCGGGTGAGCAGTGTTCCGTAAGCACACCACGTGAGCAGTGCTCTGTAAGCACACCACGTGAGCAGTGCTCTGTAAGCACACCACGTGAGCAGTGCTCCGTAAGCACACCGCGTGAGCAGTGTTCTGTAAGCAAGCACACCATGTGAACATTCAGGGATGCCATGGCAGTTAATTTGATGGTAATCTGAGGTATGAGTGGGAGGAGTTTTCTAGATTAAGTTAATTAAAGTGGGAAGGTCTACTCTAAGTGTCAGCAGCACCATTCCATGAGAGGGGCTTCCAGACTGGACCAAAAGGAAAAAGGGCACACCAGCATTGATCCTGTCATGCTTCCTGTGAATTCAATGTGACCACCCCTGCAGATGCCGCCTGCCATCCCTGCCTTCACAGATTGTACCTTCAAGCCATGAGCTTTCCCCGAGGCTGCTTTGTCAGATATTTCTCACAGTGACAAGGAAAACAGCTAACAACCCTGCCAGCTCATCTCATATCTCATCCTGTGATGTCCTGATGCTTCCTAGGGACAATCTCAGAAGAGAAGAAAGCACTACTCACGCTCTGGCTTCAACTGTCCGAGGATGGAGTTCTCGCCTCTGCACATGGTTCTGAAAACATTTGGAAAGGCATAGTTACGGAGGGTCCGGCAACCAAGTCTAACAGCAATGCCTGGAGATGTAACCCGAACCCAAGCAAATGGGACAAGCGCTCTCCTGAGACAACTCTGTGCCCATTTTCAGAAGTTAAAACCCCAGCAGGATTTTTTTTTGGAATGTTACTGAAAAGACACAGTTATTTTGATGAGAGTCAATGGGAGAGCTATAAAACTGAGATCAGAGTTCAGAAAGAGAGATGGGCTGTGAATGAACTTTCCCTTAGAAAAATTTGTGACAGCAAAGATTTAGGAGTCTTCATGAGAGCATTTATAAAATCATCCTACGTTCTGAGGTGAAAAGGGCAGACTCCTGTCAGAACATCAAGAAGTAAGCAGACTATTACAAAGTTTAAATTTATTATAAAGTCTAAATTATTATTAAAAAAAACAACCCTTAGACTGGGTTATTTCCATCAAGTCAGCAAAAAAAAAAAAAAAAAAAAAAACCCTATAACTGTGAAAAACCAAGCTTGAAATAACCAGCTCTGCTGAAGAGTTCTGCCCCCCCAAGACTGTTAAATATGGAGGCCTCTAAATAGTGGGAAAGCCAGGAGCCCCAAAGCCGTCCCTCCCCCGAAGCTATCACAGTCAGAGACAGGGAGACATTTTCTTCAGTGGTGTAGCCGTGGGAAGACACTCAAGATCCCACAAACCACCTGTCATGTAGGCTACTACTGCACAGAACTCTAGTGGAGCTCACTGGAGAGAGGAGGGGGAGAGAGGAGGGGGAGAGGGGAGGGGGGAGAGAGAGATGGGGAGGGAGAGGTAAAGACTAGGGGAACAAGGTAAGGGATGGCCTGAAGGAGAGGGGGACCAAAGAGCAAATATGATTAAAATCGTAAGCCTGTAAGAAAATGTTATAATGAAAATTCATTTATTTATACTAATTACTAGATTAATTAGTATATGCTAATAAAAACTTTAAAAATAAAAATAGAAAATACTTGAGCTGGATGCTAATAAAAATGTGTATTAAAAAGGAAAAAATCAAAGTTCTATGTTCCATCTGCCTACTGTGTGAATGTAATTAAATTAGAAAGACTGCTATTCCCCAAGCCTACACCAGCAAATAGAGATGCTTTTGCATAAGAAAAGGTTCCATTTGCTGAACAACAGCCAAATGTGCATTTCATCCAGCTGGTTCAAAAATCAAAAACAGTCATCGGAAATTGTCAGGAGCCATTTCCCCCCAATCATTACAGGAACCATCACCCTGGGGAGTCTGCAGAGAACCTCACACCCATAGTTATGTTCTATTGACAAAACCTACCCCTCACCCAATTAACTGCTAATCTTAGCGGAACCCGCCTCACATTCCAGCTATCCAGGGAACCAGGTGTGGCAACTTGTGACTTCCTGGCCTACGTGACGCGGAACCACGCGGCAAGATCCAGTGCCCTGCCCCCCATTCCTTACCATATATAAACTGTAACCCGTCCCTAATAAACGGAGGCTTTGACAAAACTGCTTGGCCTCCTTCTTCTGTCTTAGCTCATTCCCTTCCAGGTAGCGCCCCTCCGAGACCCTGGA